CACACTTGCAATTAAATTTGTGTATATAAGTATGTACTAATAAATAAATAAAAACTTAATAACAGAACTTTATCAGTTAAAAAATATATATATATATAAATTTAATCAATAATCAAATGAAAGTTTTTTTATCAGTAATACAAAACTTAAATAATCTTTTCAGCAAGCTTATTAATATAGAAAATAATATAATAAACAAACTATCTAAGTTATTCATTAAAATTCAAGACAATATTATTTTTAACATATATACAAATAGTTTTTAAAAGAGTATAATCTTAAATAATTTATAGGTATAGATTTAAAAATTATTCTAAATAAAAAAGAAGAATTTATTTTTTAAGACAATTAATCCAATACTCTTTCTTAACTAGGATGAAAATAATAATAATTCTAATAGTACTAAGTATTCTATTGCAATTTAGTCATATTAAAATCTATATAAATAGCAATTTTACTATAAATAGTATAAACAATATCTTAAAAATATTTCTCAATAAAGTTTTAGAAAACAACAAAACTTAAATCTTTTATAATAAATAAAAGATATATATAAAAAAAAGAATATAAAACTGAAATTAAATAAAATAAAGATATATTCTAGAATCTATTATAATAAAGTATTAAATAAATTAGCATATATTATATAGATAAAAAATATAGTATAATATCAAACAGCAAGTTAATATTAATATATATAATAATCTACAGTAGTAACCTGCAGGTGATGATGTTAGAAGTTGAAAGAGTTTTTACCTGAACTACTAATGAAGCAATAAATCACTCCTGAAGTTGTATTTAGAGTTCTAGATAAATATAAGACTTTGACAAATAAGTTAGTTAGAGATTTAGCTTTAGCGACATATATTTAATGTATAGCCTACAATTGTTTAATAAAGCACACATAACTAGCCTAACAGAGGATTATAAAAAAAAATTTAATATATATAATAATAAATCTACTATATATATTTATTTCTTAATAGGATTAATAAACTATAGGCATTTAAATTAAAACAATAATTGAATTTACTATAATAATAGTTTACTTTGCAAAGTGAAAACTTATAACTTGTATCAAGAATAATTTTGATAACTATATAATAAAAATATTTTACTGACCTTTAATAATAAACAATTTATATTCAACAATTATTATATCAGTTAGCAAAATTAATAGTAAAAAAGATTTAGACTATAACTTTGAAATAAAGAACTATTTATAAAGTAAAATTATATTGTAGATTATTTAAATTTTATAAAAATAATAGATATATCAAATATAATCAGGGAGAATTTAATATATATTTATTATTTATCAAATATATAAATATACAATAAATATTTTTTTCATTAAAATATGAAAAAAATAAATATAAAATATAATAAATACAATAAAATTAAAGATATCTTTATTAAATATTCAATTAATACTATATTATATTACAAATAATACCTAGAATATATTATTCAAAAAAGTATTTTAAAAGAAACAATCAAGATATTTTACAAATTAAGCTATAAAAATTTATATAAATACAATATTTTCTTTTAGATTTATAGATAAAAGAAAAAATATATATATATATATAGTATATATATATTTTTAACTCATAATTATACTGCTTTGGCATGTTTTTATTGAAATATTAGGAGATACCAAAAATATTTTACAGACTTTCACAAAGCAACTAACTCATTGTTATATATTATTAATTAAATGATCATATTATTTAAAAAATATAAGGAGTTCACTAAGCTAGTTTAGACTAAACAAAACTAAGTCTAAACTAGATACTCTAAGCCAGATTTAAGAAATAATATTATGCTCTCATAATAGCTTGGCATAGTATCTCTAAGTCAATTAGGGTCATTGTCAACAGTTTAGTATTATCAATTATCTTGAAAAATGATAAATTGCTAAAGTATGGCACTGAGAAAAGAGGAAAAAGAATATACAATTCAAATTTCTTCAAAAGGTTCTTGTTTTATTTTACAGTTTTTTTTTGAAAGAGGTTTGGCTAATTTAATTATTTATAAAATTAACTTTAAGAAGAATATTTGAGAAACTTATCCTTTTGCTAATATATAGATTTTCTTATTATTACTGAAGTTAGCACTATATTATAAAAGAGTTTGTCTAACTGAAATAAAGAAATCTTTTTAAAAACTTTGTCTGACTGGAATAGAAACTTGAAGACCTTAGCTTTTGTTCAAAAAAGTCTTTTATCCATTTGAAGAACTTAATAAAAGATAGGAGTCAGATCTATTTACCTATCTATTACTTATCTTTCAATATTATAATTGTTTTCTGGAGATCAAACATATATAATTGAAGGGAATACTTTTTTTAGAACTTTCTTTTCTATATTATCACTAATATAATAAGACACATGAGTATGATCAATAGGAGCTTACTTATATTTCAAAAACTGGAATATTTTGTGTTAGCAATCATCTTTGTTGAAAACTATGAAAGTGGAAGCTCTAAGAGGATCAAAACAGTCAAAAAGGAAGAAAATAAGCCTTTTTATTATAGAAAACCTCTATAAATCTCTTGCTTCAAAGATTAGATGGGCCTTCAAATACTTCACAGTTAGTTCTCCTTTCTTTAAAAACTTTTTGTTGTTGATATCAAAGATATTACTTGATTTTTCTTGATCACTAAGAGTCAAGTTTTTGAGTGAAAAGATTTGTAGATAATAAAATAAAGGTAATAGAAACTCTTGAAGTAATATTTTAAGTTGTTTTAAGGAAAGTATTAAGACTTTATTAACAAAGAAGTATAAAAACTTCTTACAAATATCTTTTTTTTTTGTATGGTTAGAGGATCAGCAAAAAAAGTTTTTTCAAAATTTTTTTTAAAAAAATATATATATATAATTAATTTGTTAATATAATTTATTAATATATTTATAAAAGTATTTAATTAATCACAATCTTTTGTTATTTATTGAAAATTTTATATAGAGTTAATTCAACCTTAGTAAATTAGTTCCTTTTTAAAAGTAATAATAATTTATAAAATAAGTTTTTCTTATTGAGTTTTATTTAATAAACAAAAGTAGTTATAGTATAATCATATATAATTCTTTATTAAATTCAAATAAAGCAAGGCTAAGCCAGTAATTAAAAAAATATATTTATAAATATATTATCAATTAATTATATAATTATTAAATAGAAAAGTTTTTTTTTAACTATAATTGTAGATATAAGTAAATGTGAACCTATTAATATTATTATTTAATCAAACAATAATGCAAACATAAACTTATTATTATTAAGTCAAATAACAAAAAAAATTTTAACTATCTTTATAATAAATCAATTTTTATAATAAAATATAATTGTAAACTTATTATTATTGAATAATGATATAAATATAAACACATTATTACTTTATAATGGTTTATTTTTTCAGTTAATACAATAATCAATTTTTTGACAACTAATAATATAAATATGATATTGTCATTACTTAAATAAGGATGTAATGCAAGATTGAAGAATTATTGTATAACTAAAGATAGATATTTAAAGAGGAAACAAAAACAAAAATTAAATATTCTTTATTAGTAAATATTAAAAATTTTAAATTGATAACTATAAAAAAACTATTTGCAATAGACTTTTTATTGTTTAAATAATTGATTTATAATATTTTCTGAATTTGGTTTCTATTAAAGCAAAGAGCTATGAATTTTATTCACCAAAAAGGAACATAAGTAATCTGTAAAATTTATATATCAAATACTTTAAGGACCTATTATTGTTCATGATCTAATTAAGCAATCATAGCCTAATAGAGTGAACATAACCTAGCAGAGTGATTATAACCTAGACTAATTGATCATAACATAATTATATTATGATCACTAAATTTTTTGATGAAATCTTGATGATGCAAAAGAATAGATTGATTGAAATAAAATATGACAAGTAAATAAGAGCTCTAGTGAATAATTGTATTGTTTTAATATTAAAAGTTAAATGTAATTTTTGATTTATTATCAAATAAAAACTTCCACTAAAATTTATTATTAAAAAGTTAAATAATTATATTTTATATAAAAATTTCAATTTTATTATTTTATATAAAAATTAGTTTACATACTGTATACAGTATATATTAACCGCGGATGTTGTCACGATAACTCAACATAAATCAATACCGAAGATTCTTAAAAAAACGGAAAACTTTAATAGAACAAAATGTTTCAACGTCCAGACCGATCAATTTGACAAGTTCCTTGAATCTGCGGCGCCATATCCATTTGCGGGTTGAAATAAGTTAGCTGGTTCATCATGGATGCCGGAGGAATTGACGAGTAATTCGTTTGTTGGGAGGTCGTTTGTTGCGCAGGAATCATTTGAAATGGTTGAAGATTTATGAAATTTTGTTGATTTGACATTTGCCTATTATCGTTCGTTTGCATGGAAAAGTTTGGATGAACAGCCTGTACGTTTGACTGCAACATTGGATGCTGCATCACTATGTTCTGAGGGTTTAATTGCTGAAGCATCATGTCCTGGGAGGGCATGTTCTGTTGAGTCAGCATTGGTAATTGATTTGACTGATGGGCCATCACCGAGTGAGAAGAAAACAGTGGCTGCGGAAATGTTTGTTGCCACATTGTCTGCGGAAGTTGCTGTGGATATGTCGTATGTTGTGACGTTGTTGGTGCCATTTCCACATGACGCTCTTGCTTTATATTCAGCACTGAATGGGGCATTGCTTGGCCATTTTGTTGGCTCTTCGTGTGACTAAGATTGTAAGGCTCTTGTTTAATGCATACATTCTGAAAAAATGCATTCGGAATCTGTTGGCACGTCATGCTTGGTGTTGGAGGTGGAACATTTGGAGCCGATTGATTCTCAATTGTTTGACCACCCGCGTTTTGAATTTGCTGGAGGGACACATTCTGATTAAAATTATTTGTAATATCTTTAAAGGCCAGTCTAGAAGTTTCGGGTTGTACTGCAATATGTTGGCAGCTTATCACAGAGGTAGGATCGGAGAACGAATGACCTTCAGGCTGTACCATATTCACTCGGAGTGTTTGTTGTTCTATCAAGTGCTGTGTTGGTTGGTAAAAAGGGATCATAAAATATTGTTGCGCCGTTGGATAGAACGTCATTTGATGTGAAGGCTGTTGGTAGTTCATGTTTTGCGGAACACATTGAAAAGTCGCGGGATTGCTTCTTTGCTGCGCATGAGGCGTTTCTTGCTGTGTGTTGTAAAAAATTTCCTGATCGTTTAACGTCATCTGAGAGTTTTGACGTGAAATGACCATTAAAGTTGGAGATTGCGAGTTCAACTCGCATTGGTCAGATCCATTTTTATCCGTATTCTCATCGACAGGACATTGAGTTTGAATATTTTCTCTGAGCGATTGGAGTTCAAAGCTTACATTTCTTGACAATTTGCTAATATCGGTGTTTTCTTCATTTTGATCGTCGACTCCGCTCGCCAATTCATTCGTTGGAAAGGCCAGATCTAGATCTGATCCGAATGGACCGAACGAGACTGGAGAGCCGAGCATAGATCTAAAATCCGGATATTGAGGAACCGGGTCAATTTCATATGGTGCATCAATTTCGCTAACCTCGGAGACAGGGGCACCATCCTCCTTAATCTTTCAAACAAAATTGTTAATTTTTTGTCGCATTAATATAAGCAAATCTTACTTAATTTACAGCAATACCGTGTCATTGTATATCTTTAATTTTTTTTCATACTCTTCTGACGCATCTTTTGCAATTTGAAGATACGGCTGCGAATATTTTCCGCATCAGTCGAACGTTTCGAAAAATTTAAATGTTAAATAAAAGTACGGCACCTTTCTTTCCTCGTTAGACATCCCTCTCCATCTCTTTCCTAATAATTTATTGATTTCAATATAATTCATACTCGGATTGTCCTTCATGTACTCTCTTCTATTAATTTTAGGAGTTTGACCATGTATCACGTGATTTAACACCAAACGAGCAATAAATTTTTTTTTTTACCTTTTAATTGTCAAAAAATGATGCCAGGCATTGCCAGGTTTTTTAGGAGCATTTTTATCCTTAGAAACTCTCGTCCTTTTACAACTAGGTTGTTTCCCATCCGCATTTCCCCCATCACTTTTATTCCGCCTGCCAGTTCTAGATCTACGTTTTTTCAATACCTTTTCGGTCGTATTAGTTGAAGACCTCATGATCTCCGAATCTTGCGTGTTTTCACCATCATAGCAATCTGTTCTCCGGCCATTTTCGATATCACCCACGAATATTGTTTTGGTGGTATTGATAGTAGAGGTAGTATTCTCGTTGTTTTCTTTCCCCAAATCATTCTTCTTTGAATCTTTATCATCTTCGGCTGTTTTGTCTAATCCTTGCTCCTCTGAAATCGACTCGCGAATCGGATTGCTTATTTCATTATTTTCAGGAACTTTGTTTGAAGACGGACTAGAAGTTGATGGTGTTGGATGTGTATGTGCATCTGGCGTGTTATTTGTGGTATCCGGTGGAGTTGGTGGTGAAGTATTATTAGTGGATGATGGTATTGGAGTTTTGGTCTGTACTTTTATTACGGGTTTAAAGTGACCCATAATTGATAACTTATTAAATAAAGAAAGTTAAGATGTAGAGGAAATGATGTTTTACTATATCTTTAAAGGATAAAGGAATTTTTTAACGCGACGTGCAAGCAAACTCATTAAAAATATTATAGTTTAAAATACGCAATCAATTGCATCGATGCCTACCATTTACAATACATCTTTCACAAGCATATTACATATTTAGACTATTTCCTTTCCAAACTCAGATTTCCTATAGCATAGGCGAATCCTTACTTTTATACCATCGCTACATGTTTTCATTTGATGTACAGTATATGCCGTATATATTGTCGCTTGATAAATAATTAATCACTGGAATCCAAATTTGTTTTTGTTATTGCGAAAAGTAATTTACAGTATTTGTAATATTTGAATTTCTTTTTTTTTTTTTTTTTTCATTACAGCAGATTATTCCATAAAACAGTATGAACTACGATAATTGGGAATCAACATGAAAATGCTTGACACGAAAACATCAATAAAAACATCAATAATTTAATAGTCCTTGTCTAAAGCATCCGTAATTGACATACGATGTATTCAGACAATATTAATTGAGTGATGTCATTGTGTCTCTTCGAGTAATATTAATAAAAGTAATAGACTACAAGGATCATTTTATTCATGTGGTCACGTTAAATTATACGTATGAGAGTCAATTTGAACCCCGAAACTTTATTCTCATTCAATAAAGTTCTTCATTCTTCCTCTCAATATCTCAAATGGACGAGGCGACAGTATCATCTTCCTCTACTCCATCAAACAATCGTTCACCCTTACCGCATGATTCAATTCCCTCTGAAAACTCGTCAAAACACAGGCAGGTTTATCGCTCTGATGTCTGCCCGTTATCTGTTCTTGAACAAATACGAGGTCGTTACAATAATGTTCGAAAATCAAAATTACCGCTGATAGAGGCAACTAAACAGATTGTCTTCGTCGACCTTTTGATCGGTCTGCTTTCCGAAGAAGGATTCGATTTTCGCCAAGGAATTGATGGAAAACATCTTTTGGTTGATAAAACGCATGGGAATAAAGTATACGTTGAAATAATCGATGAAGAAGAAGAAAATGATGAAAACGTTGATGTTGAAGAGGAAAATGATGAAAACGTTGATGTTGAAGAGGAAATTGATGAAAACGTTGATGATGTTGAAGAGGAAATTGATGAAAACGTTGATGATGTTGAAGAGGAAATTGATGAAAACGTTGATGATGTTGAAGAGGAAAAATCATGACAGTGTTGATGCAAAACAGCGGAGAATTCTAGAACTACGGAACGGAGGGTGGAAATATCTTCGCAATCATAATGGATTCTTTCTCCCAATTTGCTGCAAAAACGGATAAATCAAAAGGTTTTCATAATTTCCAAGGTAATGTATTTTGTGCATAAAACCATTTTAGTCATTTGCAGTGCAGTAATATTATTTGCACCTATCGATATGTAAAAATTTTCAAATTAGATTATCTTTGCACGAGGAAAGATTGATTTTAGATTAGATATTCTAGCTCATAAATGAAATTTTTCTCAACGGAAATTAGATTGTTGTTTATTGTTTGTACTACGTTTAAACAATATCTAGTATGCAAGATAAAGACAATCGTATTGGAGATGTGTGACATTGACGCCATGATACCACATTGGAAACAACTTTATTAAATATGTCAAGATGATTCTATTTATACTGACCAATAGTAAACTTACTTGGAATTCTTGTTCTTATAATAAATGTTAAAATAATTAATAAATACACTTATAAATATTGTTATGCTAATTAATTGAATAAAATAAATACACTTCTAAATATTATTATGCTAATTAATTCTTTGATTTGTCTTACTGTATTTGTTTTTATTATAAGTTTGCAGATTGAAATTATTAAAGAATAAAAACAAAGCAATATTAAATATTATAGTATTAATTCATTAATTATATTTATAATTAATATTCTATCATTTTATAATAGACAATATTATACAATACATTAATTATTATTATTTATTTATTTTATATCTGTTTGCTTCATAAGAATGATATTAAAAAATTTTATTAACATATTTCTTGCAATTATTTTTAATAAAAATTTTTCAAGAAGTTCAAATAAAGCGTAACCGTAGTATTTTATTGATTAAATGTACTATTTTCATAATTATATTATTTAGAACTTAATTAAAATCATAAATCTATACTAAAATAATATCGATTCGTAATTATATTATATAAAACTTAATTAATTAAAATCATAAATCTATACTAATTAAAATCATAAATATATACTATATTATTTCAATTTGTAATTATATTATTTAAAACTTACCAATTAAAATTATATTATTTAAAACTTAATTAAATGTCGATGCGTAACTATTTAGTGCTCCGGATCTTAAAGTATATTAAATCATAGATAAAGTGGCCAATTTTTTTTTTGGATGCGTATTTCGTAGTATTTTCTTTTCCAGTGCATATCTCTATTTGTAACGATTAAAGTAAGTTATAGAAAAAAAATTTTCGGGGATGCGTATTTTGTAGTGTTCTCTTTTTCTTGATTCGTAATGATTTTCGAATTTGAATGGTCAATTTTTTTCGGATAAGTATTTTCTTTTCCATGATTCGTAATGATTTTCGAATTTTAAATTACCAATTTTTTTCGGGTAAGTATTTTCTTTTGCACGATTCGTAATGGCCAATTTTTTCCCGATTCGTTTTTTGTAATATTTTCTTTTCTACCTTGCCAGCATTCCATTTGAATCTTATAGGTAGGTTCCTAAATCCTGCTTCGGTTTATTAATTCATTCCCCTCAATTCAGGAAAGTATAACGGCTGACTGATATATTTAGCCAGTGGATGAATATCGGGATCAACAAATTTTTGATTTTCGAAATCGGCAAATTTTTTCTCTTCTGCTGCATCGAATTGATCGGAAATCGGAGATGGATCCGGATTGTCACAAATAGCAGTAACCCAGTCCCCAAGTTTTTCGTATATTTCCGAGGCACCGGGGCGGTTTTTAGGATCATTATCCCAGCACCTTGTCATTAGCTCCTTATAAACTTCAGGGGTGCCTTCAACTATTTCCGGACGAGTATTGTTACAAATATCGATCGCTAGAGTCTTATCGTGAGCCCTATTGCAGAATGGCTTCACACCTGCTGATAATGTCCACATGATAATTCCGAAGCTATAAATGTCGGACTCCTTGGTATATGGTTTACCTCTCAATATTTCCGGTGCAGCATAAGGTAATACACCATAAATAGTATCTATTGATCTGTCAGCAGGACCGTAGAGGCCCACGTCGGCAATCCGCGTATCAATCGATTCGGGTTCATTTTCGACTAATAGATTTCCTCCATGAAGATTCCCATGGTAAAGATCACTCTTATGTATTTTATCTAATCCACCCGAGATACCCCAGAGAATATCGACAATATCTCTCCAACAGAGAGCTCCCCTAGCGTGATGGAGAAACTCGTAAAGATTTCCGCTCTCATAAAACCTCATTACGAACGCGAAACATCCAGTTGGATCTCGTGTTATTCCAAAACAATCCGCGACCGAACCACTCTGGATGCATTTGTGATATTCCCGAATCTTATCGTTTAAACGGAAATCACGTAAACCCGCGTTATTTAAATACTTTAATAATGAATTATTCACAATATATATGTATTTATTTTTTTATATACCTTACATTTTCTAAATACTCTATGGTGATATTTTTGGAATTATCTAACCTTTTTATAGCAACTTTGATAGGACCGTTTCTAGACCAACTTTCCGCATCTTCATCCCAGATCCATCGAGGACCTTCGATCCAATACGAAGAATAAACAGTACTAAACGAACCTTTTCCATAATATTCGGTAAGAATAAAATTTTCCCACGGGATCCATTCCAGATAATCCACGCTCTCCGTTGCTTTTTTCTGGGTCTCCTGAATTATTATGTCGAGATATTCAATTCCGCTCGTCCAATTACTAAAATCATTTTCTAGAGCACTAATCTCGCATCTGTGACACCAGCCAGATCCGGTCCTTTCCAGACCACATTCACAGCTTCCATATCTGTTAGAGTGCGATTCTTTAACAACAGAATAGGGCATAATTATCTATGAAGAGCATTGTAAATTGTGACGCCATTATTTCAAAATAAAAAATATTAAGCAAACGCAAACATTTTTAAAATTAAAGCGCAAACTACTAACGTACCCAAAATCAAACAGGCAAGCGTTTGCATCCTCAAATAAAAGCCCTTTTAAACTTTCTATACTTGCACAAGGCGCAAACATTATTAAGGGGGATATAAACAAAAGATTATCTATACGTATTTCGTTAAAGACTTTCTAAAAATACGCAAGATTTATATTTTTGTGGGTTACAATGGAAGCCATATATTTATTGTTAACCGGGCTGGAATTTGCATAACTTTACTAAATTTATTAAATATTAATTTTCATGTATTTATAATACTATTTTATCGAAAGGAAAAAAAGACTATAGTTTGCTTAATATTTATTTACTACTCAAATTTTTATATTCGAATTATTTCTTTATAAATATGAATAAATTTCCATTATTTTGATGATATTTTTAACATCTAATTCTTCTCTATCAACGATGAGTTATCATGTGAAAGTCATTGTACATCGACACGCCATTATGACGTGATTGCTAATTAAAAAAAACCCCCTTCATATTAAAATAAGAATCTTCGATACTTTATTTTTTTTTTTAGTTATTTTTAAGCATAGATAATTATTACAGCATTATTCTCTTTGTATTGTTTGTTTTTTACGCCAATCAATTGACTCATTTATATTATATCATTGACATCTAGGAACTTATACTCTATATCGACTAGGAAACGGCACAAGTCGATTTAATTTAAATGATCGATCCATTACCTCATAGCCTAATGCAAATTTAGAGTGGCAAAAGGTGTCTAAATTATACTTGACATACACCTTACGTGTAATGTTATTATTGCCGAACCGTTACATATAAGTCACGTCATATTGATTTTCAAAAAATCATGTTATAAAACGCCTTCATTCCACATTACAGCCTTATTGAAAGAAAAAAAAAAATGACTCTCGCCGATTCTGTCTATTCTCCAATATGGGGTACTATTTTGGGAGTTATCATAGTGAGTGTGCTCATTCTCTATTCTTGTTTTTTTTTTTAAGAAAGAAAAAAAAGAAAGAAAGAAAAAGAAATTAGCACTAAAACGCTTCTAAAAGAGAGAATTAACACCCCAAATTTTTTTTAGCTGGTCTTAGATCTCATTGCGATTTTTGAAGTGTTACAATCACCACGCTCGATGCTTGGCAAACTTTTATGGATTCTCCTAATCTTCTTCTTCCCCGTTATTGGATTGATTTTTTACGTGTAAGTACTCTGATAAATGTTAGTTCTAAACAAAAACCCCTAACTAAAAGTTTTGTTTGTTTAGTTGTTGCGGACGCTCCACTGTCCGATCAGGTGCTATTGTATAAGCCGGAAAAAAATAAAAATCGGCGATTTCCGGTGGCTTTTTTGAGGCGGAAACTTGTTTTCGGCTATGTATTTTATAATTTAAATAACGATAAGGCTATTTGAAAACCGCGGTCACCTTTTCATTTAATGCACTCCCACAATGCAACTATCTTAATAACGCTCTAATGATAATTTAACTTATTCTTTTTTTTTTATATATTATGTATTATTGTATAATAGAACCTTGTCGTAATTTGACTACGAAGAATTTGGTTTAAATTTCTTCGAGATTCTTAGCCATCGTAAATATTTGGCAAGAAAAATAAATCGGAATTGTGTTTAATTAAGATAAATGTTTTTTCCGCGAATCTTTATTAAAAACGTGGGCATATAAAATTGATTGATATTTTCGGATCTTACAAGATTAGATTAAAAATATCAATTATCTATGACATTACAATAAATTTAAAGTTTCGATAAGATTAGATGTTCTGTTTGTACTCAAGCATGTTTAATCAAATTCCCTTTTGTTGATACATAATTGCTTGTATGGATGTTTTATTTGTTTGCTGAAAATGTCAGCATATTATCGTTTGCCCCCCATCAAAATAAGACCCTGCGTTATATAAACATTAATGCATATTTTAGCGGTAGGTCATGGGGTAGAAATTCGTGGATCAATAGAACCGTGAATACTGTAATATACTGTATAGTAAATAAATCAATGCAGTGTTCACGGACTTTTGACTTTAAGAAATTAAAT